TCATCCTCCTCCCTCTCCCCGCCTCCATCTGACCCGCATCCTCATCCCCGACTCCGATACCCACACCCCTCAATCATCACAAGTCATGCTGCCCAATCTTCAACCAACAGCAATCTCAAGTCAATCAGCCTCGACACCGCCCCCTCAGCTGCTCCGCCTCGCCGACCACCAGCCGCCAGCCGCCGCCCGCTCGCCCGATCAGCCCACCTTCATCACCACCTAGCTCCTTCCCACTACTAGCTACGCAACCCGCGACCACACCCAAGGTCATCACTCGCCATGCACTATCACCAGTATCAATATCGCTGTCATCGACACCCATCGACCTCGGCTCATTTCCGCGTCGGCTTGTTTTGCCTAGGCGGTTGAGCACGTCCTCGACCGCCCGACCCCGCACATGCCCCCCACCACACTCATTGCAAGATATGCCCAATCTGATTTCACTACTACCCTATTACATACACACACTACCCCCATGCACAGTCTCCAATCCATAGCTGCAGTATTCCAGAATCCGAGTTCTGCCACCCGAGGCCCAAGTTGTTGGCCCTGTGTCCCTTCGAAGGTGCTGACCCCTCCTCCCCGGGCCCATCTCCGACCCCCACTCCCCACCATCACACCCACAACCACCACACCCGCGCCACACGTACTCACTATGCCTGCAAACATAACCACCCACTTCCTGCCCGCCGATACGCACATCAGTCGACGCCAACCCGTCAACAGCATCGCTGTCGACCGCCTGCTGCTCACCGCCGACCGCCGCCCGCCGCCGACCGACCACCGCCGGCACCACCGAGAGCTAGCTAGCCATTGTCAGGACATTGGAGACGATGCATAGAGATAGCCACGGCAATGGCAATGACTACAAGTCTGCTCTCCAACCCAGTCCTCCCCTCCCTCCTCCGGCCTTGCCCATCACAGTCCCCGCCGGCCTGCTCATCGCCAGCCGCCCCTGCTGCCGATCACCGAGCCAGACGACGAGACCTCCGGACTGGCCAAGACAAGGAATAACAAGAGAGGGCCAGTGCAATCGATAGGTAATGCAGTGGCCGGCTAAAGTGCAGTTGGCTGCTTCCCCCGCCATCTCAAGCCATCGTCTCCATCGACGTCCATCAATCCCATCCGTCCGCCCTCCTCGCCCTCGCCACCCAAGCCCATCCACCCTCATTGCCCACACTCCACACCCACCCATCATCCTCATCCAACTCGCCCACATCAATGCTCAAGCCCAATCGCCATACCCACCATCCCTTCGCCCTTCCCACCGCCCACGACCCCCTCATCCCCCCTACCATACTCATTGCGCCCGATCACCCACCAACCACCACCCTCACCGCCTACTCCACCACCACCACTCTCATTTCAACCACAACTACCACCCCCATGCCATGGCCATACCCACCACCATCCCATCACGCACTCGGCTTCCTCTTCCTCCTCCTTCTCCTCCTCTCCCCGCTCCAACAAACCCCCATCCTCATTTCCGACTACGACACCGCCATCCTTCAACCATCACATGCCATACTGCCCATCGTCCAACCAACAGCAGTCTTAAGCCACCCAGCCCCGATCCCGCCCCCTCAGCTGTCCCTGCCTTGCCGGGCACCAGCCGCCAACCATCGCCCGCTCGCCCGATCAGCCCACCGTCATCACTACCTAGCTCCCACCCACTACCAGCTACGCTACCCACGACCACACTCCCGGTCATCAGACACCCCACACTAGATCCAGTACCATTATCGCTGTCATCCATACCATCTTTCTCGACTCACTTTCGCGGCGACTTGTTTGCCCTAGGTGGTTGAGCACGTCCTCTCCCGCTCCACCCCGCACACGCCCCCCACCATCCTAATTGCACGCATAGCCAATCTGATTTTAAAACTATCTCACTGCATGCACACATTATCCATATTCATAGTATCCAACTCACAGCTCCGATATTCTGGAATTTGAGTTCTGTCACCCGAGGCCGAAGTGGTTAGCCTGGTGTCGCCTCGCTGCTGCGCAGCCCCTCCTCCCTAAGCCCGTCTCCGAGACCGGCTCAGGCCCGGCCTTGTTCAGTGCTAGACGACGCTCTTGCCAACAATACATGCCAGTTCGTCCGTGCGCTTGAACCCCACCAGAGTGGCTCGAACACGTACATCGTGGCCCTGACCTTGGGCCCCACGCCTACCATTCGCTCGCGGAGATTGTCTACCGCCTCAGCAGTGACGGCGCCCTTTTCTTCCCTTCTACTTAGCCCACCCGGGCGGAATCGCCTCCCACTCGCGACGCAGCCCGGCCACGTCGAGTCCGACACGGTGTGCGTGAAGCGCCAGCCGCGCAGGTGCAAACATGCGCTGCGGCACATCCGCGACAAGCGCCTCACCTTGACTGCTACCTCCCGAGGACGCACAGACGGGACAGGCGCCAACAACCGAGGCATCGGCGCTCGCGCTCGCAAAGTATCCTTGATCTTGCAGTTGAGCGACGTGTGCAACAGCGACATCAGGCGCTACGCTCTCCTCGCGCCCGTAGAGATGATCACCCACGATAGCGCTGCCCACCTCTTGCGCGAGATGAACACGGATCTGGTGGGTCCGGCCTGTGATGGGCCTGGCTCGCACGAGGCCACGTCGGCGGTCAACAACTTCAAACTCGGTCCGTGCCTCGCGTCCGCCCTGTCCTGTCCGCCGGACGTAGTCAGCGCCGGTCGGCTCGAGGATCGGGGCATTGATGACAAACTGTTGCTCAAACGGCAGAAGGGCAGGATCTTCCACTTGTGCAAGGTACTCTTTGGACGTCACTGCTCCCGAATGTTTCCGGAAGGAGGCATGGAGCTCCCGTGCGACGTTGACCGTCCTGGCAAGCACAATCACGCCCGACGTCGGTGCATCGAGCCGATGCACCGGATGCAGTTTGCCGAACTCCTCCTCCAGCAGCGTCGTCACCGTGCACCGAGAGTACCGGCCCGTCGGGTGAACAGGCATGCCGCGCGGCTTGTTGACCACCACCACGCCACCATCCGCGTCGATGACTTCGATCGGTGCCGGCTCTGCCGCGTCTCCGGGCAGTGCGATCGGGAGCTCGTGAACATGTCGTGAGTGGAACAGCACATCGTGCGGTCGGACAACAAGATCACCACCAGGTGCCACAGCACAACCATCGCGCACCAGCCCCAGTCGGCCGTCCGCCACAGCTGCGGTGGCATACTCCTCCGAGTAGCTCCGGAACTCGGTCGAGATGACCTCGACGAGCTCCCGCCCAAACCACCTCCCGCGTGCATTGGCTCTCAAACATGCCACATACGGTGCCATCCATACCAGTGCATGCTCGCCCACACGCGTCACAAAGTGCGGATACCGCCACATCTCCCGTCACTACCCCGCTTCTCCGCCTGTCCTCCAATCGAGAGCTGTGTGCGAGCGGGAGTGGGAGAGCAACAAACGAGGCCACAGAGCGTGCAATTGCCACACCACCACCACCACCCACCAACCGCCCTACACACCCACGCCCACGCCCACGCCTCTCTACTCCCTCCTCTCCACCTTTGCTCCGCCATGGACGAAGATACACTCCACCTTGTGGCGTGTGCCCTTTCGGGCCTTGCCTCCTTTTCCTTCATCCTCACCTACATTGTACGCACATGCCATGTCCCCCCCCCCCCCTTCCCCCCCCGTTCCGCCTTCCATTCCTCACTGCCACACTCATTCGCATCCTTGCTGCTGGACGCAGATCCTGACGGTGCAAGCGAGCAACACCGCAACAAACAATGCGAACAATGGCAACAGCTCGTCGTCTGATGATAATGAAGGTGTCTCGGCAGCTGCTAGGGTGGTCTTTCTCGTCCTCGGCATCGTCCTCGGCTCGCTCTCGTGCGCCATCTACAAGCGCTATCGCAACACCTTTGCCTCCACCAGGCGGAGCCGTCGCAATACTCTGCTCAATCCGGGTGCGCAACCGACGTATGCTGCCGGTCCGCGTGCGCCGCCGGCGTTCAACACCCCAGCGCCGCACGTCCAGAACCCGGCGCCGTACGTCGTGCCGTACAACCCGCCACGGGTGTCTGGCACGCCACCACCGCCGCAGTCCAACTACGCCCCGCCGCCGCCGTCTTCGTTGGGCTACGGCCCTCCACCGACAGCCTCACGCGGCGCTGTTCCTCCAGTGTACGGGGGGTCGGTGCCGCCATCGTTTGGTGGCGCAGGTGGCTACCAGCCACCGCCAGTCACCCACGCCCCGCCGCAGCACCCGCAGACCAAGCCACCGCCGATGCCCTCTGCCCCGCCGCCGGCGCCTGCAGTTCCACCCGCGCCTGCGCCCGACATGCCGCCGCCGCTCTATTCCACTACCGAGTGAGTCCTTTACAAGCCGTACAACCTCTGCGATGTATTGGCATCGCTACTCGAGACAGTACACCTTGGCGCAGATGTCCGTCCGCGACACAAGACGGACAATGTCACGACTCCGCGCCTGCGGAGAGATCCAGTAACAGTTGTTTCCAACCACCACACTACCGGACGAGAGAAGACGGTCGACGACCGCGGCGTTCCCGTTGAACACCGCGCCGCGGAGTGCCACGTTGTTGCTCGCCCCGGCATCTACGCCCGGGTGGCCCAGCAAGGCCGTCACCACGTCGGCGTGCCCGGCCTCGGCCGCGAGCCGGAGCGCACAGTTGGAGTCCACGCCCGGATCGACCTCGTTGCGCCCGAGCAGGAGCGCCACCACGCCCACGTGGCCCTCGCGGCTGGCCCCGATTATGGCTGCGTTGCCATCGGCTGCAGCATCTACATCACCGCGCGACAGCAAGTATCGCACTCCGTCTTCCGCCCCGTGCCGAGCAAGAACCGCTACCAGCGGCTGCGGCCTCCCGCGGTCCACCCGGATCGCCCGTCGGAGCACCTCGGGCTGCCGCGCCACCACCGCGCCAAGGAGCTGCGACCACAGCGGATGCCGCGGGAACCGGACCATGACGTTCACCATCTCCAGCGCGTCTGCTACTTCCAGCCGCTTTCGCTTCGAGAGGGCAAGAAGTGCCGCGCCCCATGCTGCTCGCTGTGTACACCATATCGCGCCGCGGAGCGCAAGCACTTTGCGCCTCATGAACGCGCTGCCGAGGAGGACCGCGTGGAAGCCTTTGGACGTCAGCGCCAGCGCAACCACGTCGCATGCCTGTAGCACACCCACTTCACAAGCTATTCTGCACACAATCTCGGCAGGAAGCCGTGAGAGCGACGCCATCCCTGTCTGTCCTTGTAGGGCGCGACGAGTGGCTTGCCATATTGGCAGCAAGTACTGTTGGCGCACGCGCTTTGACTCGGCGCCGACAAAAATTGACCATATGTCGCAGTGCGGCAATACGCCGGGACAATAACGCTCCACCACACCCCGGACAAGCTATGTGTTTGTCTCTTGTCTTATGACTCCCAGAACTGGTAGTTAACGCCCACAATCGGCACAAGGAGTGTGAGAATGATGCGGAGAATATAGACCGTGACGTACACTCGCGAGTCGGTGATCCAGTACGAGCACGAGCCCGGCAGCCGACCAAAGATGCCGATCGAGTACAGGTCCCAGAAGAAGGCCAGAACTGCCGAGGCTGTGTAGAGCGCGATGAGTGACCGCAACTTTCGCCGCTTGGCACGCAGCCGCCTTGCCACTCCACCATCAGCATTGATGGTCGAGGTGCCCGGCGTGAGTGGCGTTGTCTCTGCCAAGTCGCGCCGCTTAGCCCGCTGCTCCATCCGCGCCAGCCGGCGCGACACCACCGTGGCCAGGCCAAAGAAAACTCCACACGAGACCAGGCCGGCCGTCGACATCAGCGTCCACGACAGCGACCGACAGTCCGCCGAGTGGTTCAGCACCGACGAGAGCGCAATGATCAAGACTACGATTTCGCCGAGGCCGAGGACCACAAAGCACCGCGAGATGAGCACCACCGTCGTCGACGAGACAAAGACCCTCCGCGAGAAGATGAGAAAGACGTATGTGACGCCAAACGGAATGACAATGTTGATAAAGACCACAACCTTGTCGAGCACTACGTTCGAATCTCTGCCAACCACCGTAGCAAAGCGGATCACAAGCAGCAGTGACTGGAAGGCCGCCAGCCCGAGGAGCCCGAGCTGATGCGCAACGGCTCCGAGCCCTTTCTTCGCCACATGCTTCCGTACTTTCCACACCATGTTACACATGCAAAGAAGCAAGCATGCAGCAGACAACGTCAGGCACAGGCTCACCCGTGTGCACTCGGACGACCCGTTCTTGCCTGCCTGGTGCGTGCACGACGGCGACGGGCCAAACACCGCAAACGTCCGCGAATGCTGCCCTCCAGAGTGTGGCCGCGTCGCGTTCCCTACGCCCTCCACCACATGCGGAAGGCCAAAGCCATCTCCCCACATGTTCCTTGCTCTTCGCCTGTTGCCTCAACTCCGAGAGTGGGGTGATGTCGTGGCCAGGCCGCCGGTTGGTGGGCGCCGCTCCTCACGCAGCCGGACGCAGCAAATTGTCGGCGTCGCCTTTACAGTGCCGCCAACTACAGCATCTCATCCCAAGTAAACGCCAGCTCCTGCCGGTGCTCGCTGCACTGCATGATCTGGCCCACACCGCAGTTACCAAACATCCACCACACGTGGTGCATCGAGGCAACCTGGAACACAGTGTTGCTCATGGCAGAGCCGCACACGCCGCACAATACCGGCTCGGCGCCCGGTGGCCGAAGCGGAAACCCGCCAAGCTTGTCGCACGGCGAGACCGTCTTGATCAGCATCTCACTTGGCTCGATCCTTGCCTCGTCCGCTGCGTCAGCCGCGCGGATCGCCTCGAGATATCCCGCCGGCAGCGGCGGCAGCCCGCGCTCCTTGGGATGCCGTTTGCGCAGGATCGCATTGCGCGAGAGTAGTGGAAGATGCGGCATTGTGAGCTTCTTCTCGGCCTGCGTGAGCCCGGCTGCGGCCACAAACACGTCGTAGTACGGAACGCGTGCTCCGATCGGTCCGCCCGAGTGCCACCACTCGCCGATGTCCTCGGCAAAGCCCTCCCAGTCCAGAATTTCGATGCGGGTAAAGTCCGATTCGCCCCGCCCCCGTCTTCCTCGCCGCGTGCATACTCGTCCGCAGTCACCCAAGCCATCCGTGCCTCGGCGGCACCAGACTGGGGGTGGGAGCAATCACATCCGCCCGTCGAGCAGATGAACAGCTGAACGAGCGGCACATTTCCGCCGCCGCCAGCATCACGCCGCGGCTCAAACCGGTTACGCGCACCTGCAGGCATTTCTGGCACAGCGAGCTGGACAACTAGCACCATGCTCCCACCACACATTCGGCAGAGCGGCTGTGGGCCCCATCCGCGCCCGCCAAAGTGAGACCACCGCGCGGGCACGTTTTCGGCCACCACCGCAGCATATGCAATCCGGCGCACCGTCCCACCAGCACCCATCACCACCTCATTAAGCGCATACACGTTCTTCCAGTCGAGTCCTGCTTCGCCACACCGCGCGATGACCGCGTCGACGTTGCCCGCGCCAAACGCCGCTCGTGCCCGCCGGTACCACAGATACGGATCGCGCTCCACCTCGCACAGCCGCCGGCAGACAAGCCGAAGCGCGGCGAGATCGCACGGCCCAAGCCGCTGCATGACGTTGATCAAAACCTCGTTGGGGAGCTCCAGGAGCAGTGAGCTCGTCTCCTCGTCGCCGTCTCCTGCCGGCCGTAGCAGCCGCGCGGCCGGGCGCGATGTCGTCCCGTTGCTCCGCACCGCTGCTAATCGCGACTCGGTCCGCTTACATCGCTCGATCTCTTCCGGCGTGAGCCGCACGCCCAGCTCGTCGACCCACACACAACTCTGCCACCATCGCCGCTGCGTCTCGTACCACCGAGCCCGCATGTCGTCGCCAAGCCCGCCGCCCGGGGCGGGCACCTGATGTAGCTTCCGCCGACGCCCCGGCCACGCCCACGCCGTCATCACCGCAAGCGTCACTCCTGTTCCAACTGCAAGCCATTCGACAGAGACTGTGCTCTGGATGAGCTCCATGTCGGTGAAAGGGGGGACGGCGAGTGGGAGAGGTGTGCCAAATATGGAACATGTGTTCGGCACCAGCTAGGGCTATACGACTCTCGCTGGAGTGAAAAGAACAATGCTTCCCAGGCAGACCAGCATGGGGGGGGGGGGCGTTTTTACTGGAAGATGGCCCACGGATCGGCGGCATCCTTGGCACCAGTGGATGCGTCCGCAGTCGATGGTGCAGGTGCCGTCGGCGAGGCAAACGCACCCCAGTCGATGGCGGCGGCGCCTGCGGAGGTCGTCGGCGCGCCGAGAGCCGCAAACGGATCGGGGGCGGCCGCATCGGCTGTAGCAGGTGCAGCAGCCGCTGGTGCAGCAGCAGGTGCAGCCGCCGCTGTCGCCGTTGTCCCGCGCGAGCCTCGTCTCCGCGACGATGCGCCAGTCGGCGGCGGCGGGAGTAGAGCGCCAAGGCCGCCACCACTGGACGCGGTCGTTGCAGCGCCGCGCTGGCCGCCGGCCACGCCGGTCGTCACCGCCGCGCCGCGGCGTGCTGTCGGCTTGTGGCGCAGCGAGACCTTGATCGTCTGACCCTCTTTGAGCGAGTAGTCCTTGGACGGCTCGCGCGGAGCGGTCGCGATCTTCTTCTTGTTCTCCACCCACGACTTGTGATCGTTGAGCGTGAGGTTAAAGTCAAACGCGTGGTTCCGGTCCTGGAATCCGATGCCAATGAACGCGTGCTTGCCCGACGCAGCGTCGACAATACGGAGAACAAAGTACCTCGACGAGTCGATAGCCGGCTCGACCGCGCCGTCGACCACCGGCGCCTCGGCAAACGTCGTCAACCCGTCCTCCTCCACCAGCCGCACCGTCGCCGCGTCACCCACCGCAACCACCTTGAGCATCCCCATCCACAGCCAATGCTCCAGGTCCCATGACTTGGCCCTATACCCCGTGACCAACCAGCCGCGCCGGTAAGTTCTGCCCCCCTTCCCCCCCCCCCCCCCCCCCCCCTCCCCCCCCCCTCCCCACCACAACCTTCCCACCTCCCCCACCTCCGAGCATACCGGTATCCCTGGTTCGTCTTCTTGCCGTTCACGTCATACACAAAGCACTGCTCGAGCACAAGGAGCGTTCGCTCAAAGCCGTCGTCCATGCTTGCTCTGCTGAGAGTTGTGTGCCTGTGAGTCTCCTTGCTGCCTGCTGTCAACACCGAGGCTTGCGCCGTCTCCAGACGAGACGCGGCTACGAGTCACAGCTGCTTCCGCCATGACGACCGACTATGTACGCGCTACTCCCTGTGGTCTGACATCACAGCAAGGTGTATGGGCTGGTGATGTGAGTTGCCATCAGCCGTACGCTATCAGCCTTGTTTACCTGTGGCTGAGGAGAGGAGCAAGTTCCGGGCGCATAACCATCGCCGTCGCACACCATCGTCGCACAGCATCATCGCACAGCACCGTCGATCGCAACCAACGCCATCTGTCGCTGTCGTCGACGCATATCAAAGGTCTTCCTGTGTCACCCACGTCACCGCCATGGCCACGTCACTCGGCCGCCGTAGCAGACGCACCCGCAGATGCACCCGCAGGCGCAGCCAGGCCGAGATGAGCATCGATGCAAGCCATGACAGCCCTAAAGATCGACGGATGGTCGTCAAGAATAGCAAGCATGGCGACCACGGGCCGGTTGTCGCGCTTGCCGAACCGCTCCATCAGCCCCCGGGCGTAGACGCCATCGATGAGGCCAGCCTCTCCACGCCGGCCAAGCAGGGTATTCAAGCTGTACGTCGGCTCCTTGCCGTCGAGACACAGATCCTTCTTGGCCTCAATGACCGTACCCAGTCGGTTGTTCTGTGTCACCATAACCACCACCTTGTCGGTGTAGACGTTGACGACCACGTTACTCGCCTTCCGCCCCTCCACCTCCACCTGGGTGTTGAGCTCCCGCACACCTCCGCCTGCTGCGCTCGCTCCGCCTGTCTCCATCTCCCTCTGTCTGTATTCTTCTCACGCACTCGGCTGGCGCACAACAAGACAAGCGTAGCGTATTGCTGCTGCTCCTCCTCCTCCTCCCCCCTCCTGTCGTCGTCGACATTGTGACTCGCGCCGTCCCTCCACTCACGCCGAGTCAGACGCCACACGCTGCCCAAAACCGCCCCACAAACCGCCCGTCGTCGCCAAACAAATCGCTGGCGATGACCTCCATGAGATCGGTGGCAATCGCTTCGCGGCCGTCCACAACCACGTCTGTGAGGAGTGGGATCCGCGACGCCGCCCACAGAGCCGCCCGGCTCGCCACAGCGCCGGCATCGATCTTCTTTCGCCGCGTGAGCCGGTTGCTCCCGCCGGAGCTGATGGCCAGCTCGTCAGACGTGTCTGATGCGGTGGCAAGGTCGATCGCCGCCCGCTCCGTCGGCCAGCATGCCGCCTTGGTCAGCGCGCGCATTTGCGAGCTCGAGCCGATCGGGAGCCGCGCATACCGCGCCTCGACCAGCTCCATGACAGCGTCCCACGAGACGCCTGCGCCAAAGACCAGTGCACGCGCGCTGGCCACAACCTCGAGGGCGCGCGCCTTGAACCCGCGACCGGCCTGCGCCGGCGGCCGTGGCGGTGGCATCGCCAGCAGCTCGGCCGCAGACCGCTCGCCAACGGCTGGCGAAAGGACCGACACCGAGTACGACCGCTCCACCGCACGCACAGAGTGCCACCAGAACGGCGGAACGTAGAGGATCTCTCCGGGACGCACCGTGATGATCAGCGCGTCGTCGTGGTTCGCCTGCATGTCGCGCGCCTGCCGGTAGTGGACGTGGAGCCAGGGGAACGGCTCCACATCAACCGACGCCGACGGCGGATGCAGAATCCACTGCTTGGCGCCGGTGATCTGGATGTGCAGATTGTACGAGGTGTCGTAGTGGGTGTTGGCCACCACTCCGGCCCGTCCCACCCACACCATGCTCCGCGACACGCCTGCCTCCAGCTCGAGCTCCTCCACCCGCAGATCACCCTTGACCGGAGCCCACTCGCCGTCGACGTCGCCAGTATGGTACAGCAGCCAGCCGTCGCCGTCGTCATCGCCATCGCCTCTGCTCGCGTCGTCGGCGTAAAAGCTCTCCAGGCCGACCGCCGTCTGCATCTCAAACGCGTCGATGGCGCCGAGGCTGAGCATCCGCTCGCCGACAGGCACAAAGACCGGCGAGCCGGCCGAGGCGTTGCGAAAGGCGAGCTCGACCCCAGCCATGGCCTTCTTCATCGCCGCAGCGTCGCTCCATCGCCGCAGCGCCGGCCACTGCGCTGCCGACGAGCCACGAATGAGCAGCGGCCTGTCGCGGAGCTCAACAAGACCGTCAGCGCCGCGGCTGCTCTGGTCCACCACAAAGTCGCGGACGTCCATGTCGGGTGGAACAACATTGACTTCAACCCCTCCCTGGTTAGCGCTCTCCGCTGCTCCGTGCCCCGCAAGCGCTGCCGCCACAACCAGGGTGACGGCGAGAATGACTCGGTCCACGTGCATGCAACGGGAATGGGCGAGAGAAATGCCGCCACTCGCGGCAGTCGCGGCAACGACGGTGCGTTCATTGTCTAGTCTTCGCCTTGCACGCACTGCTTTCATCAGAGGCCAGAGGCGGCGCGACGAACAGCCATCTCCTCGCGCATGACGGCAAAGGCCTCGCCGATACGGACAGCAATGGCTGCCCAGGTCCGACGGTCGTCCCACGCCTCGGCGGCGGCCTGCTCGAGGATGTCGGCAAGCTCGATGGGCTCGCCGACCGCGACATGGACATGGATGTCACGCGAGAAAATTGGCGCCTTGTCCGGCGGCTTGGTCACGTTCATGCCCTCCTGGTAGATGGGGAGGACCATCGGCGGCGTGTCACACTCGGTGATGAGCCGGCCGACGCCAAGCTTGATCGGCAGCAGCGGTGGGATCTCGTCGGGCGCGTGGTCCATCGAGATGCGGCCCTCGGGAAAGATGTTGACCCACGCGCTCGACCCGTTGAGCTTATCAACAGCGCGCAGCATGTTCGGCTGCATCACGCCGCCGCCGCGAGTGACCGGCAGCACTTTGAGGCTCTGGAAGTAGTACGACGACGCGAGGTTAGTAAAGAGCTGGTCCTCGGCCGCGAGGGTCCAGCGGACGAGTCTGGGCCGGAGGCACGTGATCCATCGCAAGGTCATGGGAATAAAGCCCGGATCAAACTCAGAGACATGGTTGGCGACGGTGATGAGGCCCTGCCCGGGCTTGCGGGAACGAAAGTAGACAGCGTCCTCGAGCGCCTTCTCGTTGTACACGTGCGGCGTGACAAAGCCATTGCAGTGGATGGACGCCAGAGTCCAAGCCGTAGCAATGCTCACTGTGCTCAGCATCGACCACCCGACGTTGTGATCCGATGATGGCAGCTTATGAATACCCGGTACGTCCACTACGTCATGGTACGTCTTCTCGGGCTTGGCGTGTGGGCAGTGCGGTGCAGGGAGGGCAGAGGTGGTGAACGAGAGCGACAACGACGAGAACAACTTGGACAGCATACCCACAACCGCCACCACAACCACGCGCTTGGTGACTTGCTGAGGGGGTAAGGAGGGATGGGAGGAGGGAGGCGCGAGGGGCGAGGCGCGAGGGGCGAGGCGCGAGGGGCGAGGCGCGAGGGGCAAGTCGAGTGTGTCAAGCCGCTCGACGCTGGCCCCCGAAAGCCTGCCACGCGTCACGAGCTGTCATCCTCGGCGCACCTTGGCGCGTTTACACTACCTTGCTCCACCCTTTTGCAACGCACCCCACTCGCGGAGAAAGCCTGCGACGACCGATCGAACGCCCTCGCTTTCGCTAGTTGCCACGCACTGGCACAGCGCTTCCCAGAGCGGCGATCCGGCGACAACGCGCTCGAGCACGCTACCAAGCAGGCGGACGCCGTCTTCCTGGACTCGGGCCACGCCGACGCCGCTCCCACCGGCAACGCCCGAGAGGGCCCGCTCGACCCGCGCACACACCACGTCGCCGTCGTCCTCGCCGGCTACGATGCCGACCCAGAGGCCGGCGGCGTCCTCAATGCCGTCGCGCGCGAGCGCCACAAGCACATCACACGCCCGCGCCCGGACAGACTTGGGCGCGCCGGCCACCACAGCATCGACCTGGCCGAGCGCCGCGCAAAGGCCCGGTTGCGTCAGCTTGCGCGCCTCGAGCGCGCCGAGAAGGAGGCCGACGTACTCGCCAGTGCCGACGAGTTCGGCCAGCTCCGACGCGAGTGCAAGAACTTCACGCTCAACGTCCGAGACCTTGCCCTGCGCCTCCAGATAAGTATCGCACCCGAGGTTGCCGCGGAGGAGGGTGGCAAGAACCGGTACTGCCTGCCGCGGCGAGCCGAGCTCAGATCGCTCGGTCCCTGCCCGCAGCGCCTCCATCAGCGCAGTCATGACGCCCTTTCGGAGTGATTCGGACCCACCGCCGTCATCGTCGTCGCTGACGAGCGCGCCCGCCGCCCGCCGCAGCGCTTCCCACCACGCAGCGTAGAGCGCGGCGCAAAGCGGCGTCTCGGCCCCAACTTTGTCAAGCGAGGCAACAACAAAGAGCAAGCCGCGTGCCCCAACCATGCACAGGTTCTTGGATGCTCCGCTCGCTGCCGCGCCCGCCGCCGCGCTCTGCAGTGCGTCGAGAACCTCGCTCCAAAAGAGAGCAACCTCCGCCTCGCTGCCGACTTGCGCCAGCGCGCCGAGCAGCGAGCGGTAGATCGAGACTAGGCCCTCCAGAATAAGCGTGAGCGACTCGCGCCAGAGCTTGGCCGGTGTGTCACGCGAGTGGTGGACCCGCACAAACGACGGCTTGTCGCCGGAACTCGTGGCCTCGAGGTAGGGCGTTGCGCCTGCGGCGGCTTCGGCGCTGTCCGGAGCGGCATCGGCGGCGTCGAGCGCGACGAGCGCGGCTTGCGCATGGCGGAGGACGGCAAAGACAACGTCGGGCAGGAGCGAGGCCCAGCCGTCGAGCGAGAGGCAGAGCCCGTGGGTGGTGAGCGTCTTGAAAAGGGTACGGACGGCGCAGTTGCGCGTCTCGGCCGCCGACGACATGGCGAGCTTGCCGAGCTCGCCAAAGACCGCGATCCAGTGACGGTCTGCTGCCGGTGCCGCTGGCGACTTGAGGTAGTCCGCAATGCGCCAAAGCGCGCCGACAGCGGTGAGTGAGATGTTGACCTCGACGCTCTGTGCCGCGTACGCACCGACGACCGCGACAAGCTCGTCGAGCGAGTCGGCCGGGACAAACTCGAGAAAGTCGGCGAGCACAAACTGGACGCATCGGAACGAAAGCGCGAGGACCGAGGCGCCAAACGTGGGCGAGGCTGCGTGTTGTGCGTGGTACACCCCGTCGCCGAGAATGTCAAGCACAACCGGCCAGCCGGCGTGCGAGGCGTCAAACGTCTCGCCCACGCCCTGCAGCGCCTCAAGCAGCGCCGAGAGTGCGTTGAGGTGGGTGTCCTCAAACTTGGACGATGCCAGCCTTCGGAACGCGCCGAGAACTTGCGGGTGCAGCGCCGGCTCGGCGTCCTGCAACGCCTCGGTGAGGAACGAGGTGAACGCCCGGACGGCGTACATCCTGACTGCGGCAGCCTCATGAGTCGTGAGCCCGATGGCAAAGCTAGAGAGCGGCTCCCAGATGAGTTCCAGCCGCGACATGTTGCACCGTGCTGCGCTGAAGAGGTACTCGGCCACGGCTGGCGGCGCGAGTGCGGCCGAGAGCGGCGAGTGCGATGCGCCAGAGACGCCCGCCGAGGGCGACGACGGCAACGAGCCCGACGACTTGTGGCTCTTGCCCTTGACGCTGTCGAGCGTGGTAAGCCGTGCCGGCGACGCGCCCAGCGCCTGCTCCATAGCCACGGCGCCAACTGCTGCAGTCGCCTCAAACATGGCGACAAGGGTCGCCGGCTCAAACTGTGCTGACGATGCGAGGAGGCTGTCGACGCCGGAGCGAAGCGGAGCCACAATGCTCGGCGCTGCGCCGGAACCGTGGCCGACCGATGACGCCGCGAGTGCATCGCTGCCTGCCGACGAGCTCCCGAATGCAGCAAAGAGCGGGAGTCGCATCCGCCGCAGTCGCGAACGGAGGACCGAGCGGCCCGACTCGGGCGGCGCCGAGGCTGACGGCGACCCGGCGCCACTGTCGGCATCGCCAGCCCGGGCGTCGAGATCGGTGATCGACGCGCTGGCGCTAGGCGAGAGCGTGCCGGACGACGCCGACTGCTCCGCGAGGGCCTCGGCATCGAGGACGATGTCGAGTGCGTGCAGAAGCGCCATAATCATGCGCCAGCCGGCGCCCAGTACGTTCGGCGAGCGAGTAGCAAGCTCGAGGAGGGCGTGGAGGACAACGACGTGGGTGAGCCGCAGCTCGGCGTCGGCGGCCGAGGCAAGCGGCTGCGGAACGCCGAGGACGGCGGCGGCGGCAGCGGATGGGCCCTCGACGCCTGGAGGTGGGAAGAGACCCGGGAGGCGAGCACGCGGTGGAAGGCGACGCGGGAGCGCGCGAAAGGCAAGCTCGGCAAGGACCGCGGCGACGACGTCGCTCTCGCCCAGGACGCCGGCTGTGTGGACGACGGTGGTGAGGGCGGGGACGAGGAGGGCGAGGACGTCGGCGTCGTCGCTGAGCGCAAGGGTGGCGAGAAGGCCGTCGCGGATCGGGCGCCAGCTGACGGCAAGCATGAGCGTGCCGAGGGTCGGGTCGGTTGCTGCGGCGTGGGCGGTCGCCTGCGCCGCCGATGCCAGCATGCGGCAACCGATGAGTAGGGCGTAGTTGGAGATCTTGCGCGGAGGCGCCGACTCGGAGAGGAGGTCAAGGAACGGCATCTGGTCGCTGGCGACGACCTTGTCGTGCGGTACCTTGCCCGACCGAGCCGCCTTGGACTCGCACATAGCGGTGACGGTCTGTGAGACGACAGCGACCGAGTCGGTGAACACGTTGGTCGACGTCTCTTGGCAGTCGTAGAACGAGGCAAGCCGGGCGGCGAGCTGTGGATCGGCCATCCACGAGTGAAGTACCTCCATAGCACCAATGAGAAGCGCGAGCTGCGGCTTGGGCGCGTCAAAGAGCTTGAAGAGCATGTTGACCAAGATTTCCACCTCCATGACGAGGACTTGGCCAAAAGAAGCCACGAGGATGCGGACGACCCGGAAGAGGCGTATGCCGAGCGAGAACTCGGTGAGCTGCGAAAAGTTGCGGATGAGGAGCGGGCAGACGGCCTCTTGGAGCATCTGGGTCAGCTCTGGGTGCGCAAGGTACATTGAATCGATGCGGATGGTGAGGAGGATGACCTCGAGGAGCTCGAGGCCGAGGTCGCGGGCGAGGACGGCGGGCGCGGTGCTCGACCCGCCGGAGGCCGACGCAAGCCATGTGGCGTTCTCGCCGTTGGTGAGCGAGACAAGGGCGTGGAAGACCTGCAGCGCGTCGCGTGCGCATGGGCGCATCGACGACGCGCCCACGAGCGCGGCGTTGGCCTCGGAGCTTGCCGACAGTTCGATGTCATTTGCCTCGTCAGCCCCGTCCTCGGCGGCCACCTTTTCAAACACTCGGCGCATCATCTGCCGGAGCGTGGCGACCGCAAGCCCGCGGACCAGCGACGACTTGGCCGACGACATGCGGATCCCGAGGTCAAGCGTCTGCGCCAACGCGTTGCCCTGCAGAAACGAGCACGACGTGATGAGCGAGTTGAGCGCCTGCACAACCTTGACCTGCAGCGCCTCGTCCGACGCGGCCGATCCAAGCGCCAGCTTTGCCAGCGTCGACACCACCGCACCAAGCCCCGAGGCCACAATGGCGTCATGCGAGGCCAAAACCTGCAGACCGGATATGGCCTCTGTCACCAGCTTGGCCGACGACGTGGTAGCCGCTACCAGATACGGGCGCAGCACTTCTTCCGATCGGATGACCTCTGTAGAGACCGCCACCGCCCCACACGAGACCGAGCCACCGCCACCACCACCGCCGCCACCACCACCACCACACGAGACCGAGCCACCACGTCAGCGACGAGCCGCCCAGCCGTACCCACCGCCGACCACATACGCCCGCCATAAGTCCCTACCCATAACATCCCCCTCCCTTCCTCGACACCACCCACCTCCTTTCCCCCTCCGCGTGCCCCTATCCCTTCTGTGGTACGTACCATGGACCTTGTCGGCAAGGTACCTGTCCGAGTCGGAGAGTGAGCGCAGCTGGAGAATGCCCCTCTCGGCAGCCTCCTTGACTCGACCATGCTTCTTGCTCTTCCGTGCTTCGGTGGAAAGTGTTCTCAGGGAGATGTCGATGATGTCCACTGTATCCATCTCCTCAAACAAATCCCTCTCTCGCTGCTCCTCCCTCTCCCTCACCAGCGACAAGTGCCCGTCGCCGTCGCCTGTCGCCAGTCAGTCCGTCACCCAGCCAGCCAGCCACCAACTAGTCCAGCCAGCCAGCTCATCATCGCCGATACCCTCAACAATCATACCATCCGATAACCACCTGCTCTATTCTCCTACAAACTGCTGCATCCCGAACGGTCTGATCTCAGCAAACAGCCTCAGTCAACCCCGCCCTCCCCCCCCCCCTTCCCCCCCCCCCCCCTTCCCCTTCCCTTCCCACTCCACTCCACCACACCACACCACACCACCCCCACCACCACCACCCACCACCCCCCACCATGGCAAACTCAAAGTCTTCTCAACCCAACTCGGGCGGGCTGTTCAAGGGCGACAAGGCACTCAAGCTGAGGTTCATGGTCCTTGTTGTTGGCCTCGTTGTCTACGCTGTCGATGTCTTCATCCTTAGCTTCATGGTGGTCTCGTTTGAACATGCCCGTGGCTTTGCTTGCTGCACTCTCTGCTCTGATCGGGATTGGGCAAACTCAAAGGTCCGCCCCACAGACATTGTCCGAGCCAATGATACTATCTGCTCTCTCGCTCCCTCGGCAAAGGGCTACTCGCAGCTATCAAGCAAGTGTGCCCCCATCTTGCCGCCGCTGGCTTGTGGGTCCCAGATCTGTACTGAGAATCGTTTGAACGAGGCGTACAAGGCTGCAAAGAGCGAAGGCGTTGGCCTCGTCGGCCTCAGACTCGCCTGCCTCATCATCGCCGCCGCAGTCTCGGTCATCACCACCTTTCGCATGCCCAAGCGCAAGCGGAATCGTTACATTCTCCGCGGCGCCATCCTCACCCTGCTCATTGTCTCTATTGCGCTCGCTGTTGCCATCTTTATTATCAAGGCCGGATACATCGGCATCAAGTGCAAGGACGCGTACTCGGGCTCGACCCACTCGGCATGCAACGAGGACCTCGCCGATTGCCCCGGTCTCAAGATCGTGGCGGTCTTTACCAACCCGGACGTCTTCACCCTCCCTGCTGTCCTCTCCATCGTCACTGCCGTTGTCTCTGCCACCATCTTTTCCTTCAAGGTCATCTTCCGCAAGCGGCTCCGCCACCGGTCCGAGCCGCTGGCCGACGACACCCTCGACCTCGACGCCAATACCGGCAACGAGATCAGCATCGACGACGTCAGCGTTTCTCTGACTCAGCCTGTGGTCGCCGCCGCCCCTGCTGCGGTAGCCACTGCCACCGTTGCTGCCCACTCTGGCCCGGACCACGACACTCGCAACCGTGCTCCGTCGATGGGCGTACGCAGTGCTCCAAGCGGCGTCTGCGTCATCCGCGCCACACTTCCTCCCGGCTGGGAAATGTCTGTTGCGCCCGACACCAACGCCTACTTTTACTCCGACCACAACACCGGCACCACCTCCTGGGAGCCGCCGCACGGTGCCCGCACCCTTCCGCCGGGCGTCCAGGAGGAGTTTGCTCCTGATGGGCGCCCCTACTACGTCAACCACAACACCCAAGTCACCACCTGGGTGCCGCCTATGTAGTCAGTGCGCCAAGTTGACCAATCGATCATCGCATTTGATTTGTGATGGAATCCCTGTCGCCATCGACTCGACGTGGTCGCCCCCTCGACAGGATCTTGCTTCTCCGCCGAGGCATGTCCGCCACCGTCATCGTGTCGACAATCTCGTCACACACACACACACACACGCATACTTTTTTAGAGTACCAACTACACAAAGACAACTGGTACGGTGCCTACATTACCGACATGTCTTGACTGCCCTTCCTCGCCCCCCTCTCGCACACATCTGCCCTGAACCCCGCTCTCGTGGCCATCCTCAACGCGCGTCGCCGGAAACCTACTGCAGATCACGAGACCGGCCGCGATGGCAAGAACAGAGAAGACAAAGACGAGCGGGTAGCAAATGCCGACACCGATGACGCCCGGGATGAGACTGTCTCTTGTAGCGGTTGGGCATGATGCCGCGAAACCGAGAAAAACAGCGATCTTTCATTTGTTGTTCCGCATCGCTTCCTCTTCATCCCCCCCACCCCCCCACCCCCCCAGAAGCACACCTACGCGAATCAGACCATAGTCGCAACAAGCCCACTCCAAAGAGCTTTTCATGGATCCCCCCCTCTCCCAGTTCCGCATCGCATCGCATCGCATCTCTCTCTCTCTATCTCGCCATGCCTCGCCTCAGTCTCACCGCGCCCGAGGTGGCAACCACGACGGCAGCCATTACCACAAGCCTGACCACGGCATGCGCCAACCTCTCGACCGCCACCAACCCGTTCTCTGCTCTGGCCACCGCCTACGGCTCTGCTGCTGCTGCCTCTGCCGGCATCACCGTGACTGCTCTGGCCGGCACCGACGCCGACGCCCGCCGAGCTGCCAACGCTGCTCGTGCCACTCTCCGCAACGCCTTTGATGCCGTTTGGACGGATCCAGACGTCTATGCGGTTCTCTTGGCTGCCACGGACACTCCTCCGGCCGACGAGGAGGAGGCGCGCTTCAGATCAAGTGCCCTGGCTCTCATGCTCCGGCTCGGCGCAGGGCTGACCGGCGAGCATCGCCTTGCTGCCAAAGACCTGCAGGAGAAGATCTCAGCCATGACTTCCCAGTTTGATGCAAACCTCAACGGAGACACCACAGCTGTTGAGTTCTCCATCGCAGAGCTGGACGGCGTCCCGGACTCGCTGCTCCCGCTCCTCGAGTCTCGCGGCGACGATCGCTACGCCGTCCCACTCAAGCGCCCCACCCTCACTCCGACATTGCAGCACGCCAAGTCGTCAGCAACGCGTAAGGCCCTCTACCGCGCCGCAAACTGCCAGTGCCTCGCCGAAAACGGCCCGCTGGTCGACGACATCCTCGCCGCCCGCGCTGCCCTCGCCACCGCCCTCGGCTTTGACTCGCACGCTCACCTCAAGACTTCCGCTGAGACCGTCCGCAAGCCCGACGCCGTGTACGCGCTCATGGACTCGGTCGCCAAGGGCGCAAAACCCAAGTTTGAGGCTGAGATCTCTGCCCTTGTCGAGCTCAAGGCCACGCTCATCGCCGACGGCGGCCTTGTCGCCGACGACGACGCCGAGCCGGCCGCTGTCCACCCGTGGGATCTCTCTCTCCTCCTCCGCGAGCACAAGAAGCGCGCCTTTGCCGTCGACGACGAGCAGGTCAAGGCCTACTTTGAGGTCTCCGCCGTCATCGCCGGCGTTCTCGCCCTCTACGAGCATGTCTTTGGCCTTGCCTTTGAGCGCGTTGCCGACGCCCCGCTCGCCTGGCACCCAGACGTTGCCCAGTACACCATGGCCGATGCGGCCACAGGCCAACTCATCGGCACTTCTTTCTTGACCTCTACCCGCGTGACGGCAAGTACTCGCACCAGTGCGTCGTTCCTCTTCAGCCGTCGTTCTTCGACGCAGTTGCTGGCTCGCAGCGCCTGCCCTCGGCCGTCATCATGGGCAACATGACCAAGCCAACGCCCAGCGCCCCGGCCCTACTGCGCTTCTTCGAGGTCCATACCTTTGTCCACGAGTTTGGCCACATCGTCCACGCCCTCTGCTCTCGCGCACGCTTTCCACTCTTCTCCTGGGCATGGTCCATCGTGCCCTGGGCCACGGGCTGTGGTGTCGAGATGGACTTTCTCGAGGTCCCCTCCCAGGCTCTTGAGAACTGGGTCTATCAGCCGGCCGTTCTCGCCCGCCTCGGCGCGCACCACGTCACCGGCGACCCACTGCCGGAAGATACCGTCACCGCTCTCGTCGCTGCCCGCCACGTCGCCCCAGGCATTCGCTACACCCGCCAAATCGCCATCTCCGCCATCGATCTCATCATGCACTCGGGTGGCCCACCCTTTGTCTACCCGCCGTGGGGCATCGCTGCACACTCAGTTGAGGACCTCGTTGCCCAGGTTTACGCCCACCTCGGCCTTCCGCCTCCGCTGCCATCCACCAACTTTGTCGCCTCGCTCTTCCACTTTACCTCGTACTCGGCTACATACCACTCGTACCTCGTCTCCGAAGTCGCCTCCGCCGACTGCTTCACCCTATTTGCACACAACCCGCTCGATCAGGCCCAAGGCTCCCGCTTCCGCGAACTCATCCTTGCCCCCGGCGCCACCGTCGATGCAACCGCCATGCTCGCCGCCTTTCTTGCCCGTCCGGTCTCCGTTGACGCCTTTTTCGACTCGGTCGGCTTTACTTCCTCCGACTCTGGGTAGCAGCTACATTCATAGAAACGGTTCCCACCCCTTCCACACCCGTCCCAGTACGTTCTCATCCGTCGCGTGGTCGATGAGCATCGTGACTTGCTCAGCCACATCGGCACAATTCCCGGTCATACCGGTCCGCTTCCGCACATACTGCTTCTCGCAGTTGGCGCGCACCACATCCACGAGAGCGCCGTAGTGCGCCTTCCCGTGGTGCAAACTCGCGTCGAGTTCAAACACCATCACGTCAGACGTCACTACACCCGAGAGCTTCTTCTTCACAGCCTCCAGCCGCACCGCGCCTCGCCATTCCTCGCCAAAGTCATTCTTGAGCTTGTCCACTGTCTCTTTGCTCAGCCGCGATGAAAGCCGCACCCACTCGGTAATCGGCTCGCGGACAAACACGTCCATCACGGTCAGCAGCCGCTCCTTAGCTCCGCGGAGCGCGCCGAGCGCGTACCGCATCGTGTGGTTGAGCACTCCGTCCACATCCCACGGCTTGATGCAGTTGACCAGCTGCGGCGTGAGCCGGAACGGCATCAGTTCCGGCACAGGCAGGTACTGTGTCGCAGATCCAAACGCGTGCCCGTAGTCAATGCCCACAAGCCCGCCCGTCGACAAGTCAAGGAGCAGGTTGGCCAGGTGCCGGTCGCCAATGCCCACCACGTACGAGCACATGTTAAACACCGCAAGCGACGTCACAAACTGGCCACGAACAGCGAGCAGAGCCTCCGGCCCGGCTGCAAGCTTCAGCACTGCTGCGCGGAGCGCGTCCCACGGCACACACTTGACCGCTGCGTGGTAGTTCGACACCGCATCCTTCACCGAGCCCCTCATGAACATCCGCTCGTACATCTGACCTGTGGTATCCCCATTGCGCTCCCTGGCGTGGATAAACTTGGCAAACGCTGCCGTCGCCGTCCTCAGCGCGCCCTTGTCCGACCCGACTCGCCTCCGCGCCGAGCTGGTCACAGCTCGCTCGCGCGCTGCAATCTCTTCGCTGATCAGGTCCTTGAGTGGCTTTGTCTTCCTCATCCACTCGATCAGCCCAACACGCACCGTGCATGGCACCACTGCGTACCGCGCCACATGCAGCGATCGCGCCGCAGCCAACGGATCTTCAGCAAGCACCCGGTTCATCTCGCCAAACAGCTGCTGTACCCGCTGGTCGAGCCGCAAGTCCTCGCCGCCCTTCACCAGCCACAGCGAGTCTGCTTCATCGCTCCCATGAATTGAAATCCGCTTCGGAAGCCGGATCGACTGCAGCACAAGCAAGTGCGCCCCAAACGACGACACCGCCGTCATCTCCTCCTCCACAGGCTTGCTCCGGAGCCCTTCAAACTGACCCGGCACAAGCACGCGCTCGGCCGTGTCGTACGCAGACGCAAAGCTCGCTAGCCACGGTGAGTACGCCTCCAGCTTGGTCTGCAAAGGAACTCTATTCTTCTTCTGATGCGCCAGCCTGTTCAGCAACATCTCATTCATCGTATTCACCGCGTTGTTCGCCCTCTTGCGTCCGAGAGCCTTCAGCCCAGATCCATCACTCCCAAACTCGCTGACCAGCTTCCTGACTTCGCTATAGCTCGCAAACGCCCGCGTCATCTCGTCCGCCCCGCTCTTCTGAAACAGCGACGGCACCATCTCATCACGCCACAGAGCGACAGCCTCGTCCATCGCATTGTGCCTCAGCAGCTGCTTCAGCTCCGTCAGAAAATCCTTCCACCGCAGGTGCGGGTGAGTCAACCTGTCAAACTCGGCCACCATTCGCTCCAGCAGCGGCCGCGCAGGCGTCGCCAGCGCAGCCTTGATCCCACCGTTTCGCGCAATCGCCGCCGCAGACATGCCAGCCTCAGACACCGTGTAGGGAAAGTACACAGCCTGTGGATACGCTTCCGCCACACGCTGCACAACCTCGCTGACAACCTCACCGACACTGCCCTCATCAGAGAGCATCGCGACAAGCTGCGGCACCCATCGGAGGACCACCCACTCGGGCACAGCCTCCCATCCGGCCCGGAACGCCGCACGCGCCTCGGCGCTGTGCAGCATCCCAAGCACCCGCGGGAACAGATCCGTACCGCCCTCTTCGCCACACGCCATGCCCCCAGCGTCAGCTCGGTCGTCCACTTTGCATACCGCGACCACTCCAGTCCCTCCTTTGCCAGCGTGTGGCTCGATCCAGCACTGTCATTGCCTCGCCTACACTCCTCTTCCATCTCGCGCGCAATCGAGTTACAGAGCATCGCAAACGCCACGCGCCCCGTCGGGCCCGTCGTCGCCATGCCACTCCGCGCCAAAAACGCAGCAGCCACCCGTGGCACCTTCGATCCGGTCTCATCGACAACCATCGGCCCCAGACCATCGTCCTCGTCTTCGTCGCTCTCGCTCATCGCCTTGGTCACATTCATCCCCAGCGCACGCGAGAATGCATCCACACTCCGACGCGCGAAATCCGCAATGCACTTGTGCCGCGAGAGGGTCTCAGCAGGCACCTGGAGGATGCGCGCAAGTCCCTCGGGCAGCTCCGCATTGTTCTGGGCCGAGATGAGCTCCTCCACAAATCGTGCGCCCCAAAGCGCATCCACCATGGCCAACACGCGCTTCTCGTGCCGCCCTTGCACCAGCGGCTTCTGGTCTTCCACCCGCTCGCCAAGCTTCACAAGCAACTTAAACCTCTCCGTCTTGGCACTCACAGGCAATCGCGCCACTCCCGCCACCCCGACTCCCATCACTACCCGGAAGAACTCAAATCCAAGCGCTGGCACCTTTCCGATCGCGATCTTGGCCTCGTGCACGTATTTGGACGCCAGCTCGCAAGCCCCGATCGCCGCGGTGCCCTCCGCCGCCGCAAGGAGCATGCCCAACTCGTGCTGGGCCACCACATGCGTCGCAGCCTCGCAGGCCTCGGGCGTATCAAACAGCCCGATGAGCTTGTTGAGCAGCAGCGTCCGCCGTGTCCGCGTCTCGTCCCAGTCGCCCGGCCCATCGTGCGAGCGCGACGGTAGCCGCGACGCCCATTCAGTCACCAACGTCTCCAGTGCGTCCACCTCTAACAGCCCTACCCCGCGGCCTGCAAGCTGCAAAAACTCGTCGTACTCGACAAGCGCGGGCAGCATTCGCACCAGCCGCCGCGCCCCGGCCGTCGCAAGCGGGTGGAGGCTTGCCCACCGCTCCAGAAACAGCTCCATCGCTCGGTTGACATACGCACGCGCTGCGTCGTTCTCGTCACAGACAATCGACACGAGTGCCATCTCGGCTGCGTATTCGGTCACAAGCCGGTCCTTGTATGTCGGAGGCGTCGAGTTGACAAAGCTGACAAGCGCGTCCAGTCGATTATTCAACTTGACGTACGACGTCAGCACAAGCCGAACCTCGTCCTCGTCGCCCTCCACCGTATTGAGCCAGACCTCGGTCGCGTCATCCGCTGCCACCGCGTCCGCGAGGCTCTTCCACATTCCAAGTGCCTTGTAGCACTCGAGCCGCTCAGACTCCCACATTGCTGCTTCCGCCGCAGACGCATCGGCCTCGCGCTTCTCCAACGCCTCGTGATACAGTTCCATCGCATCCTGGTAATGCCCGTCAAGCTGCGCTGCAAGCGCCCGGTGCGTCTCCTCGCACTCGGCCACATGCACCTCGTACAACCCACGGAGCACGTCGCGCTCACCCACAGCCTTGTAAAGCCGCGCCAGCTGCACATACACCTCGCTTCCGCTTGCCGTCTCGGCCTGGGCCTGTGCTTCCAGCAGCAGGATGCCCGCGTGGTAGTTGAGCGACGCATGCGCCGCTGTGCCGAGCTCGCGAGCGTTGACAGAGAAATCGACGGCCTCGACCTCGGAGAGAACCCGCGCTAGATCCAAGAGCGCAGCCACAAAGCCGCCGTGTGCACGGGTTTCTGCAAACATCCGGCCCACAGCCTGCTCCATCCGCTCCGCCATCGCATCGGCATCTTCTTCTTCCAGCCCAGTGTCGTCGCCAGACACCAGGTGCTCAAACAGCGCACCCACAACGTCGACAAGCACCAACCGTGCCACCACGTCGTCTTGCATCGCCGCAGCCTGAAGTGGCTTGATGATGTCCGCAGGCGAAATGGCCACGTCCGGCAGCTCACCCACCCGGTACTTGCGGTAAGCCCGGACAGACGAGTTGGCAATCGCCACCTTTTGCGCCTCAAACGTCGCCCGCGACCGCGCCCGCTTGTGCGCCCGCGCAATCGAAATGACCTTGCCGGCGTCACGGTTCGACGACTTGCGGAACCGCTTGCGGAAAAGCCGCGGCTGGCTGCTCGTCTGCACCTCGGTCGGCTCCATCTCCAGTTCGTTAATCATCGAAGCTTCGATGTCCATCGTCTCTGCCGCCCGCTTGCGCTTTCGCGACTTGCCCGTACCACTGCTCCGTCCACCACTCTCGCTGCTCCCGGCAATCGCCATCGCCTCCGGTCCAAAGTACAGGTTCGACTGGTTGATCGAGAGGTCTGACGGATCAAACGCGAGCGAAAACTGTTGGTGTGCCTGCGCATCGCCACCGGCCCCGTCCTCGCCCATCGGCTCAAAAGACGCGTACGCCGCAGTCGCATCATGCTCCTTGCCAGCGCCTGGACCCATGCCCAGCGACTCGCCCATGCCGGTAGCCTGGGTGAGCGAGAACAGCGCGCCGCCCGCAAGCGTCGCCTGAAGCATGCCAAAGCCATCGTCCCCGCCTTCGCCGCCGCCTCCTGCCCCAGCGTGTGCGCCACCGCGGAACAGCGGAGCCATAGGCAGCGACGACGTCGCCCACGACGTGTCCATCTCCATCGGCACAAACTGCGCGCGCGCATCGAGCGGCTCAAACTTGGCCTTCTTGAACCCGGGCGCGAGCGTCGTCAGCCGCAGCAAGAGCTGGACCGAGAACTTGAGGAACACGCCCTCCAGTTGAGGCGCATACCCGAGCGTCAGAATCTGCTCCAGTCGCGCAAAGGTCTCAGCAGGCAGACGCGAGCCGTGGTCCCAGAACGCGACCAGCTTGGTCGCCAGCGTCTCGGACGGGTCGTCAATGCCAGCGAGCAGGTGCAGCACCACGGCACTCCGCGGCTCGCGGTAGTGCAGCGGCCAGTTGTCAAAGAGCCAGATACAGATGTCATACCCAACTTCGCGGACCGACGACGACGGATGCGCGGCGCAGACCGAGGTGATGGTAGCCAGGCTCGACTCGAGCTCGTCTGGGTCTGATACCTTTTTGATGGCCTCAAACGTGATCTTGAGCGCATGCAGCTGGACTGCTCGGTCGCGATGCCGCACAAAGGTCTCCAGAAACGACCGAAAGGTCGAAAAGAGCTGCGGCAGCGCGTGCGCTCGCTTGAGTACACACGAAAGGCCCATAACCACAAACGCCGAAGGCAGTTTGAGCAGGACGTGGAAGAGCTGATTGAAGAGCTTGGCGTCTAGCGCCGCGCCGCAGTTCTTGAGCACCTCGTGGAAGACCACCACGGCGCGCTCGGGCGCCTCGGCCTGTCGGAACATCGTCATGAGCGTGTCATGAACCAGTCGCGCGACGGCAGACGATCCGACCGCGCCTGCTCCAGGTCGCTCCTGCTCCTGCTTCATGATGAGGCCGGCCGCTTCGGCCGCCAGCCGCATGATCCGCTTCGACTTGTGGGTCATGAGCGAGACGACCTTGGAGTAAAACTGCTCTGATGAGCACAAGTGCTGGTCCTCGCTCGCCGAGTACGCTGGCAGGCCGGCGCCCATGATGAGGCCCAGCAACTGGAGCCCGACTGTGAGACACTTGTTGAGTGCCTCGTCGCTCCCCATCCTGCTCGCAATCGCGCCATCCTCCAGATGGTCCAGAACGTCAGACTTGGAGACCCGGAGCACGCCCTTCCACCCGGCTACCATCTGCGCCACCAGCGCAAGGTTCGACCGCAGCACCAGCGACGACTCGTGCATCGTGTTCCGCATCACAAACGAGAGCGTCCGCGACGCAAGCTCGCCATCTTCGGATGGCACCACCTGCCACGCCTCCAGAAGCAGCGAGAGCACATCGCGCACAAAGTAGTGCAGCCCAGGCCCGCCATTCGAGTCCGAGAGCGCAAACTCGAGGAGCGGCCGCACAAACGCGCCGGCAAACGGCTCAAAAATGCCCGGCCTGTTGATCATCATCTTGACAATGAACAAACGCACATTGCCAGGCGTCGAGCCGGTCGAGAGCTTGTCGTACAGCGCCCGCATCCACTTGGGCATCGCAGCCTTGGCCATCGACGCCGGTGCCTCCTTGCCCGGTGCCGTCGTGTACGCGGTCGGGAACAGCTGTCGGAGGTGATCCAGCAGCTGTAGCATGATCGGCATGCAGGGATTCGAGTTGATGGCGTCGAGCTCGTAGACGTCACTGTCGTCGTCGTCGACTTTGTTGACCGACCGAGCCTCGGCGCTTGTCTCGCTTCCGGCTTCGGTGCTCGCGGCCTCGGCCGCGGCCGCACCGGCTGCGGTCGTCGTTGATGCCGTCGCCACGCCAGCACCAACCTGGTTCTCGCCGCCACCACCGCCGCCGCTCTCACCGCCGCCGCTGCCGTCATCGTCGTCCTCGAGTGACGAGACCAGCCGCTGCGATGGGTTGAGGAAGAAGAGGCCGGTCGGATCCTGCGAGAGCAGCGAAGAGTCACGAAAGTATGCCGCCGTCGAGGCTCGGACGTCTTTCTTGCGCGAGGAGAACCGTTGAGTAAAGGTGGCAAACGTGCCACGGGCCTTGACGGTCCGGAACGAGGTCTGGGCTTCAAACGCGTGCCGTGTCTCGAGATCGACCACGTTCTCCCAGATGTACACACCCTTTTCGGGATTCTCCTTGAACAGGAACGTGTGGTAGACCGGCTCTTTGTCTTGCGTCCGCATCACCACCGTCACCATAGCATTGAACGCCGCTCGGTGGTAGGTCAGCCGCAGCGCCTTGCCGTCGGCGTCAAGCCCGTCAAAGGTCTCCGACTTGGCGGCGTGCGCAGACTTGAGAACGGCCTTGATGAGCTCAGTGCCCTTGGCGCTAGCCACGGCGGCAGCGCCAGATGCTGCTCGCAGATACGCCTCGTTGAGGCTGAGCTTGATGACGCCCAACTCGAGCCGCTCGAAAATGACTTGCACCATGTTGAACGCGCACGTCGCTTCGCAGAAGAGCAGCGAGAGCGGCGCGCCCATCGCTTCTGCACGTGCCGCCACAGGCTTGCCAATGATGCTGAGGAGTGGACCCACAATCTGTAGCGCCGCTGCCGAGACGAGCAGTGTCGGCGCACCTTCGAGGATCGGGACGCAGAACAGCCGCACAATGGCCATTCGTAGCGACTCGGGGTGGCTGGCGTCGGAGAAGAGACCAAAGCAAAATTCAAACACAGCCCGGATCCGCGGCAGAGGAAGCGTTTTGACCATTGCCGCCGCCGTCGACGCGACGGCGAACCCGTGCGCGTGGTTGCTCTCCTGAAAGACCGGGAGCAGAATCTCCAGAATCTCAAGCGAGCCCGACGTTCGCAGCGTGCCCAACAGTGCGTCGAGCGCCGCAATGTACTGGGTATATGCCGGCGAGAACCGATCGAGCTCGCGCGACGACGCCGGAAAGTCGTTGATCACCAGGTCGTTGAGCTTGACCACAAGCGGAAGCCGCACGCTCTCGTCGGCATCGGCGAGATGACTCAAGAGCTGCGGGAGGAGAGCAAGAACACGAATGCGGAAGGCGAGCGGGAGCGAGAGGTCCAGGAGTGACGACATTGCAGTGACGACCACACCCGCCAAGCCTGCGTGGCGCTTTCCGGTCCGCATGTCGAACGCGCTCGCCGGGAGCATGAACAAGTGCGCGAAGAGTGTGAGCATGGCATCGCGTTGGTAGAGCGGCGTTGTTTCGGCTGGCGACCACCAGTGCGCGAGTGTGTCGAGGCTCCCTAGCAGCTGCGAGGTAAACGCGGCGCCATGAACTGCGGGAGCGTCACTCGGCTTGGCCTTGAGCAGTGTCTTGACAATGGCGAGGAGGGCGTCAAAGGCATGCGGGGCGCGGACGGCGGCCTCCGCCAGCTGCGGGATGTATGCCGACGGCGTTTGGATCATGTGCTGTGCCAACGGCTCGGAGTAGGCGGCAAAGAACAGCGCACCGGCAGTAGTGATCCGAGCCTTGGCAGCGCTTGATGTCGCGGGAGCGTTCGAACCCGATGGCTGCGCAGTGGACGCGATAGACGACGGCGTGAGCGCGATGGCGGCGGCAGTGCCGAGCGAGACCGACGCCGACGCTACCTCCATGGCCGCAATGTCAGCGTCGACTTCGGCGGCTGCCGAGAACACGGCAACCGGCTCGTCGGCGGTGAGCTTGGCGAGGACAGCTTGGGGACTAACGCCGAGCTGCAGCGCCAGCGAGAGCTTGGCCATGTTCAGTGCGCGCTCGCGCGGCGATGCAGTGTGGGTTCCAGACGCTGCAGCACGTGCCGCAGCCGTTGCGGTCTCGTCAAGGAGCTCGTTGGCAAAGGCATCGCGCGACATGCCGAGCACGCTCTGAACAAGTCCGGCGCGCGCAAACTGCCCGTAGCCTGCAACAAGCTCCTCGACAGCATCTGGAGACGGATTCGCTGACGGCGATGCTGCCTGCGAGAGCTGCAGCTCCGGTGTGGCCGCAAGGAGCGCAGCCACCGGCCCCACCAGCGCGTCGTGGGCCACCCGGGCCAGCGAGCTGAGGACTGACGCCGTCACATCCGGTAGACACGAGCGAACCTCGCGGTCGCCCATGGCAAAGCTAAGCGACGAGGGTGCCAGCGCAGCGCGGACGAGGAGCGTCACAAACGGTGGAGGCGACGATGACGACGAGGTCGGCTCATTCCCGAGGCCAATCTTGCCCAGCAGGGCCTGTGGCGCAACGCCGCCGCTCTGCGACGCAGCGGTGACAACCGCGAGGTCGACAAAAATAAAGACCTTGACCAGGAGCAGCGTCGTAGCCGAGATCACTTGCTGACGAGCCTCGGCCGAAGTCGCGTTGGCCAACGGTGGTGACGCAAGGTGGTGGAGAAAGTCGTGAAGGACGTCGAGGAGAGGACTCGGTTCTGCGCTTGCAACCCACGGAAGAGTAGTCGGCGGAACGAGGCGGTCAGACATGGCCCAGATGCAGCCATCAAGAGCGGCGGTGAGCCGTGCGGCAACCGAGTGGTAGGCTGCCAGGTCGAGTGGAATTCTCGAACTGAGACGCGCCGCCTTTGAGGGCTCGGCGGCCAAGTGGCTCTCGAGTGGGGCTGAGAGCGCGGTGACGACGTCGCTGGCCGCCAGACCGCGCGAGGCAAAGTACGCCTGGGGTTGGGAACGAGGGCGACAAAGGTTTCGACGGCAGCGTGGCGGGCAGGCATGTGGAGCGAGGCACAGGCCTCAAAGATAGCGTCGAGGGCAGCGTCCAGATCGGGGTAGCCCGAGGCGAGCCGGTTCGGATCGGGCGCGCGAAGAGCCGACTCGTACTTCCGGATGATGCGGACGAGGGCCTTGAGAACGCGCTTGGCCTTGGCTTCGGTGCCGAGGCCAGGCGGGTCCGAGGCGGAGAGGCGGAGAGTGGTGAGGACGTTGGACAGCATGGCAAGCACGTACTTGGAGACGAGATTAGGCTCTTCGCGGAAGGTGCGGTAGATGGCGAGGTAGGTGTTGGCAGCGCCGAGCCGGCGGAACGGCGCGGGGTGGAGGGCTAGCGCAAAGACTTGCGAGAGGAGAGCAGAGACCTGGAGCTTGTTTGCAACTGCATGAGCAGCCGACGACTGCTTGATGGCCCAAGCAAAGAACTCCGCGAGAAAGTGGGCCGAGAGCTCGCGGAGGGCGGCAGAGGGGGCCGAGACAGCGTCAACGACGGCGTCGAGGAGCGCGAGTGTGTCTTCAGCGTCGGGCGCGGACGAGGTGAACCAATGGATGAGCTGGATGACAAACGGGTGGAAGAGCCGGCAAGTAAAGGTGTCGACGTCGGCGGCGAGTCGAAGGAGGACCGGAAAAACATGTCGATAGAGCTGGGCGTACGGCGACGGGCTGTGGGCCGACGACGCACGAGCCGAGCCAATCATGTACAGCACAATCGAATGGAGCGCCTCTGCGGCGGCGATCTTGGCCTGGCGCTGCGACGAGTGCTCGGCAAGGACGGCAAGACGCGGGAGAAGGTCGTCGAGATAGACCGAGACAAGGACGTCGCGGAAGGGAAGCTCAAACTTGATGCGGTCGCTCACATCCCACCGCATGATGGCAGATGTGCTGGTGTTCGCAGCGAGACCCAAGGCCGGGGCGGAGCCGTCGTCGTCGCGGGCGGCAGCAGCGAGCGCGCGCGCAGGCGGAGGGACCATGTCGTGGGCCTTGCCAGCAATGGTGCCAAGAAAAGTGAGGATGCGGAGCTGGAGGTCACGGACCGAGACAGAGGTATCGGACTCTGCGCCGCTGACAATGATGTCCGACTCACGTGCGGGACCGCGGCGAGATGCCGACGTCACCCGGGTCAGGCGTGATGCCTCGTCGGTCTGCATGTCTGTGAGTGCGGCCGAGACTTCATCGGCCTTGACGTGGAGAAAGCCGTTGAGGAGCGGGAGGACGGTGGGAAGCGCGGCCGAGAACTGGGCAGGGAGCACCGCAGTCCAGTGCTCGAGGGCGCTCATGGCTACCGAGGCGAGCGGCGTATAGCCAACGCCGATGCGAAAGGCTGTAGCGAGGACTGGGAGAACGAGGTCGACGACGACAAGCTCGCGCGGGAGGGCGAGGATGCACTCGAGAGCAGCGGCGAGGAGGTCGCCGGTAAACTGCTTGAGGCGGATGACAAGCTCCGTGGCAAAGGTGTAGACCGCGGTGTAGATGTGGAGTCGCGAGTCGGGCTCGGCTGTCGCTTGGATGTCAGCCTCGACCGTGAGGCCGCAGAAGTAGCGGTGCTTCTCAGCGTTGCCCAGCAGCGCGCCGAGGATCTTGTAGTAGCCCGAGACGGTCGGGTGGGCAATCGAGGCGTCGATGACGGCCGAGCCAAGGACGGCCATCCAGCGGAGCGAGGCCTCGGTGGCGACCGAGGGGATGAAGAGGAGGGCAAAGTCGACGAGCAGGAGAAAAATCTCGTAGTCTTTGAGGTTGGTCGGGCGGAGGCCGCGAGCGAGGTCGACGAGCGAGAGCGAGGTTGGCGAGCCTTCATCGTCGTCGCCATCGTCGTCGCCATCGCTGCCACCGCTCGAGAGCGAGTACGAGACAACGAGGGTGCGGAGCATGCGGACCATCGACGAGAGAATGGCGTCGTAGAGCTCGGTCTGAAGAGCAGCGACGTCGGGCGCGGGAGCGGAAAAGAGCGGGCGGGTGGCCGAGACAATTTCCGGGTTGCGCGAGCGGAGGACAGCCGCAGCGTACGGCGAGGTGAGTTCGGGGTCGAGAAGCGAAGTCCACAGCGCGAGGTAGTCGATGTAGAGCTCGCCCTGGTCCGGGGCACCGCGACGCATGCTAGAGGCAGAGGCAGAGTGCCGCCCGAGGCCTGTAGACGGGGCTGTGAGCGCATCGAGCGCAGCGCGCGAAGAGCACGTAATCCACAGGCCCTGGTAGACAACGCGGTCGAGGAGAGCCGAGAGCGCTGCGCCCTTGTAATAGAGGGCGAGGAAGAGCGAGGAAAAGGCGAGGACGAGGGTCTCGCGCTGGCGCGGCCAGAGGCGCGGAAAGGCGAGGAGCCCGACGCCGATGACGCGCTCGAGCTCGGCGAGCATGACAGCGTGAACGGTGGGGAGGACGTCGAGGGCCGAGGCGTACGCCCAGAGAAACGAGGGAATGAGGACGACAATCGACTCGGTACTCCGCGAGGGATCGATGACCTTGGCGGAGAGCTCGAAAATCTTGGCCAGAACCTTGTCGACCTGATCGGGTGCGCCGTGGGCGGCGAGCATAGGACGGGTCATCTTGCCGCACGAGCGGATGGCAAAGGCAAGTTCTGCAGCCGAGGCCGAGCGCGACGAGTCGACCAAGCCGAGGAAGACCTGCATAAAGTAGTGGAGGCCATCCAGGCCAAGCGCCGAAGCTGACGGCCCGTGGGCGAGGTCGTCGACGACAATGTCGACGAGGGCGTCGAGGGTGGCAAAGGCGTACTTCTTGATGTCGGTGTTGGTGTGAGTGGTGAGCTTGACCAGCCGGGCGTAGAGCGGAATGGCGTCGCCGAGGACGAGCGAGGCAAACGAGGCGGCGTGGCGGGCGAGGAAGGCGAGGCAGGCGCGCGGGACGGCGAAGCGCTTGAGCGACGGCGGAATGACGACGCCGTACGAGGCGACGTGCTTGAAGAGTTGCGCCTTGGCCTTGGCCCGTGAGTCAAGCTTGTCCGGAAAGGCCGCATGGAGCGAGGCAAGGCCGTCGACCGAGGCGGCGAGGACAAAGAACTTGGGCTTGGACGCCGCAAAGTTGGCCCGGATGTGGTCGAGGTAGGTCTCGAGCATGTCGTCAACGTGTGGGGAGAGTACCACTGGAAAGCGCTCGATCATGATGCCGAGGAACTCGAGGTACTTGGCCATGAGCGTCTGCGAGCCGCGCGAGGCAAAGCGAGCGAGGTCGGTGATGAGGCAGTCGGCCAGCGACTCGATGCCGAGTACGTCCGAGTTGAGCTCGGGCACTCGGGCATCGAGAATGGCGGTGAGAAGACCAAAGACGGCAACTTTCACCTCATTGGAGACATCGCGGCGGAGGAGCGAGAGTGCCATGTCCTTGATGTCACGGATGTGCATGAGCAGGTCGCCGGCAGCTGCCTCCACCACGCGAGCAAGAATGGTGACGACTTCGGCCCTGGACTTGGCATACTCGCGATGTGTGTAGTGCAGCGCACGACTGAGCCACGAGAGAATGCCCGAAGAAGGATGGAACAAGTGTGAGGCAGCGAGATGAAGATCGCCTGCCGTCGCCGCCGAGCCGAGCACGTCGTCGATGACCACCGTGGCCAGCTCCCGTGCGAGCGCCAGCGGCGAGCTGGTTGTGGGTGGTGGTGCCGAGGACGACGGTGCGGGCGTTGTGCCAAACAGTTCTGTGAGAATGCGCCGTAGCTCGGGTGCGTCCATGGTGGACACGGCGCGTGAGGTGGGGGGGCTCTAGACGAG